TTCTTGGCAATAGAAATAACTGTGAATATGTTTAAGGTTGTTGCACATTTATGATTATTTTTTCTCAAATTAACATTTTTTACAGAGCGAAGCAAATTATTTCTTTTTATCATTTCTAACACAAATGCAATATTTGATTTCTGTGTTATTTCCTGTTTTCAAAAAATTGCAGTCCAGAAATTTATCACCAACACCCTCCCTCCCCCTCCCCTTGATATCTGGAAATAGAAACATAGCTACTGTATAAGATCCCTGCTTATAATCTAGAAAATCACATATAGTTACTACACAGACCTTCATTCAACTGTGTGGAACACACTAAGGGCTAAATAGACAAGGGTATTATACATTTTACTTATAAATACTCAGGTATGTTAGTCCTTCCTAGGGATTGCTGTTTAATATCCTTATTAAAGAAAAACCTCTCCCTCTGGAAGGTGGGTGGATGGGAGGTAATCAGTCAAAGACCTTGTATGCATAGATGCATAAAGCATGGACACAGACAATAGGGTGCCAAAGGACTGGGGTGGTGGGGGGTTGGGGGGGTTCAGGGGCTGGCTGAAGGGGATCAATGGGGGAAAATATTTATTTTAAAAAAAGAAAAATTTAAATTATCAACATACTATTTAAGGACTCATGTATAACAAATTCATTGACAGGCAAAATGAGGAAATCTTTTAATAAACACTATGCTCTTAACTGAAAAATGTGAAATACACTGCATGTTAATAAAAAATTTTTAAAAAGAAAAATCTCTCCCTCTCAGTACAACTTTCTACGTTTCTCCAAACAATATTTGTTAGCTTATGTTAATTTCTAAAGATGTAATTAGATGCAAATTGATGTTAGACTTGTTAATGATATTAGCCTACAAAAAAAATAAATGGTTACATATATGGTCAGGATGTCACCTTGAGTGCAGAATCTGTTTCTTATTCATCTTTATTTCCTTAGTCTTAGTGCTTTTCAGACCTTCACTTGCCTCAGAATCATCTGGAGAGCTTGTTAAAATGCTTATTGCTGGACTTGATCTAAGAATTCCCAATTTAATAATTCTGGGACTGAACTTGAGAATTTGCATTCTTACCATGCTCCTAGATGAGGCCAATTATGCTCAGCCAGGGACCACTGGAAGAAACTAGTCTAAAGTAATGAGCACATAACTTGGTATAGAGATGGAGTATGTTAAACAGTTTGTTAAGTGCTGCTATCACTGAATTCCTCATGCTGTTTTCAGCTAAAACTGTTCTATCTACACTATTTTCAAATGAAGAGGCTGTTTATATTTATATTTAGTTATAGGACTATATTTACATACATTTACTAGAAAAACAAAAGGTAGTAATATTAGAATCATAATATTATGATTTGTGCTACTTTTTAAAGCATCATCAGGACAAACTTTTCAAAATTAACTCTTAAATTAAAAGTTTTTAAAATGTTTGTTAGTCAAACAATATATCCTATTTAATAAAAGAGTAATATGCAAATTGACCGTCACTCCAACTCACAAGATGGCTGCCCCCATGTGGTCAAAGATGGCTTCCCCATGTGGACACAAGTTGCCACCACAAGATGGCCAGCAGGGGAGGGAGTGCAAGGAGAGGGCAGTTGTGGGCGATCAGGCCAGCATGGGAGGGTAGTTGGGAGGGACAAGGCCTGTAAGGAAGGACAGTTGGGGACAATCAAGCCTGCAGGGGAGGGCAATTAGGGGTGACCAGGCCTGCAGGGGAGGGCAGATAGGGGCAAACAGGCTGGCAGGGGAGCACTTAGGCATCAATCAGGCTGGCGGGGGAGTAGTTAGGGGGGGTGATCAGGCTGGCAAGCAGAAGCTGTTAGGAGCAATCAGGAAGGCAGGCAGGCGAGCAGTTGAGAGCAAGCAGTCCTGGATTGTGAGAGGGATGTTCAACTGCCCATTTAGGCCTAATCTCAGTAGGATTGGTCCTAAAGGGCAGTTGTACATCTCTTGAGGGGTCCCAGACTGGAGAGGGTGCAGGCACAGGCTGGGCTGAGGGATACACACCCCTGTGCATGAATTTCGTGCACCGGGCCTCTAGTTTATAAATAAAGAACAGTTTGTCATTATTTATTTTGAAACCTCTTTATAAATGAAAATTAGTCTATAATTATAATTAATCACTAGTTGAAATACCACTGATTCTCAAGTAATTCCACTCATTTCTTGCTAGGCTTATCAGTATTTTGCTACTAAGGGACATATATTTAAATATGGTAAAATAATTAAGTCAGTAATTATATTTCCACTACAGACTTTAAACTATAGTAAATTTCAAGGTTAAGGATGACCTATACAAAAATATACTTAAGTTTTATATAAGATTTTTTAAAAGAGTTAAATAAAATCCAGGGAATTTTGTGAAGTCATTATTAATTTTTTTTTGTAAAGGTTTTTTGTTTGTTTGTTTGTGTTTGTTTATTTTGTTTTGTTTTTTGGAAGTGGCTTTAGGCTCTTACATATTGACAGTCAATATTGAAAAACAGTATTTTCTTGCTATGAGTTAGCTTGACCTGTTTTGAAATTGGTAACCCAGGAAAGCAAAGCTGCCTTTGCTAGTTTATAAATAAAGATAAAAATAAAAATACCCAGGATTCATATCTGATATTTGAATATCAGATTCAGGTCTGGTATTCAAAATAAATAAAGAATTCATTTATTATGGCCAAGTGGTATTTCGTTGTGGAAATGTACCACAGCTCTTTTGTGTCCACTCATCTACTGATGGGCACTTGGGCTACTTTCAAATCTTGGGTATTGTAAATAACGCTGCAATGAAGGAATTAGTGTTTCTGCAACAGCATGGATGGACCTGGAGAATATTACACTAAGTGAAATAAGCCAGTCAGAGAAAAACAAGTACCATATGATTTCACTCCTAAGTGGAATGTAATTAACCAAGTAAACTAACAAAGTGGAGACAGACTCATGGGATAGAGAACAGCTGTCAGAGGTGAGGGTGGAGGGGGTTGGGTGAGAAGGGTAAAGAGACTGAGCAAAGAAAAAAAAAAAGATTCTCATGGACATAGACAATAGTATGGTGGTTGCCAAAGAGAAAGGGGGTGGGGAGAGGTAGAAGAGGGTAAAGAGGAGATCAGTGGTGTTGGAAGGAGACTTGACTTGGGTGGTAAACACATAGTATAATATACAAATGATGTATTGTAGACCAGAAACTTATATAATTTTATTAACCAATGTCACCTTTATAAATTCAATAAAAATAAATTTAAAACATACAAAGAATTCTTAAAACTGAACATAAGAAAACAACCTTTTAAAAAAAAGGGCAGGAGGGCAAAAACTTTAATCTTTAATAAATATGTTATCAAGGAAGATGGCAAATAAGCACCTGAAAAGATGCTCCACATCAGATGTTGTCAGGGAAATATAAATTAAAACACTAATGAGATACCACTTCATAACCTGAGGTAGCTTGACCTGTTTTGAAATACAAACATCTACAACACCAAATGCTGACCAGGATGAAGAAGAGCAGTAGCAACTCTGACTCATTGCTGGTGGAAATGCAAAATGGTGGGTAGCCACTTTGGAAGATAGTTTGGCTGTTTCTTAGAAAACTAAACATGCTCTTACCACACAATCCATCATTCATGCTCTTTGGATTTGGAAAATCTGCAAATGGATGTTTATAGTACCTTTATTCTTAATTGCTAAATCTTGGAGGCAACCACGATGTCCTTCAATAGGTGGTTAGATGAATAAAGTGTGATACATTCAGACAACACTGATGGCTTTTTCATAAGAAGTTATATGTTATGTAAAGTCATGGATGTAGCCAAAACCGGTTTGGCTCAGTGGTAGAGCGTCGGTCTGCGGACTGAAAGGTCCCAGGTTCGATTCCGGTCAAGGGCATGTACGTTGGTTGCAGGCACATCCCCGGAAGGTGGTATGCAAGAGGCAGTTGGTCGATGTTTCTCTCTCAACAACATTTCTATCTCTCTCTCTCCCTCCCTTCCTCTCTGTAAAAAATCAATAAAATATATTTTAAAAAAAAAAAAGTCATGGATGCAGCCTCAACGTAAGTGATGATTTTTTTTAATGTGTAAGAAAAATAGTTTTTAAATCCATATATATTTACTGTGATAATCATTACTACCATGTTTCCCTGAAAATAAGATATCCTCCGAAAATAAGACCTACTCACAGGTTTCCTTCTGAGTGAAATATAAGGCATCCCCCCGAAAATAAGGCCCCTCCTAGGCTAAACATGAGATATTTGGTCCACTGATTCTGAAAGAAATGGAGTCACAAGAAATTCACCAGGAAATTCAGGAATTGGATTGTTATGATGATGTTCCAGAAGATGATGACATGATTGTCATTGAATAAATGAATAAATTCTCGATACTGTAGGATTCACAGTTTTGTCTGGTTTGTGTTGACAACTACCGTACTACCGTACCTTATACAGGTAATAAATTTCCTTTATTTTTATTTAACAATAAATGTGTACTGTATTCTTCTTCATGGAAAAATAATACATCCTCTGAAAATAAAACGTAGCGCATCTTTGGGAGCAAAAATTAATATAAGACATTGTCTTATTTTCGGGGAAACAGGGTATTTGTCTTTCAATTGTGATTTTTACTCTCCCTAATTTACATTACATCAAGAGTCCTCTCATGTAGTAAGAATGATACTTTAATATTGTTAGTTTTTTAAAGTATAGCTGCTAAATGGTCTTACCATTTGGGACTTAATGTTTTGTATTACATTTGGATGTTTCATTAATGTTGATGTGAAAAACAAAATGTTTTGAGTAACTTAGAAGCATCTTTAATTGATCATGTCTAACTCAGAATATGATAGAATGTTTTAAATGTTACCTAGGGTCATGAAAATTTTAGCGTTTAAGGGATTTTAATAGTATAGCTTCTTAATTGGTTTTCATGAAAATTTTGAAATATGCTTGTGTTGCTGTGACAATAAGGAATAAAGACAAAATTTCTTTGTTTTGTTCAAGACACCTAGCTGTTGGGCAGAAGAGGGAGCAGAAGAGAGGTCACATCAGCGTTCTGCGTCATGGGGGAGTGCTGATCAACTGAAAGAGGTAAGGTATTTCTGGTTATAATCTATAACCTATTTTTATCCTAGAAAATTACCTTATCATTTTTTGAACATAATGGTACTTTTCTTTCAGAGTTTAAGAGTTGCCCTCCAGTTTTGGTGAACAAATCCAAGTTTACCTTATTTGTGCTCTTCATGTTCTTTATAAATGTTCTGCAAACTCTCAGCTTTTGCCTTTTCCAAAATGAATTCTTATTTTACTTACAATTGCTATATCTTCTTCATTTTGGTTGTCTTTTGTCCCCACTTCAGCTTTCTTGTTTTTGAGTTATAGCAATGAGAACTATAGATTATAGCTTTGTGCAATGGTAGGAAAGTCTTTTTTTCTAATAACTTTTTCATGATAGTTAGCTTATTGGTGTCCTTGGAGACCCAGTAGTACAGTGGAATTCATATCTTTTGTAGTTTTTATTTTCTTACTCATTATGAGTAACCCAATTTGTGATAATCTTTGTGTATATTTTGGGTTATTTTTTCCTGATCGTTTTATTTTTTATTTATCTAAATTCTCTTATTTTCATAGAAACTGAGTTGAAGGGTCATCTAGTTCTGCAGTTACCAACCTTTCGGACCTCCCAGTGGTCGGCAGACCACCAGTTGCCAACCACTGATTTAGTCTATCTCTTATGTAAACACTCCTTTAGAAAAATGGTCATCTAGTCTGTTTTGATCATTCTTGGTGAGAGAAGCTCCTCACTTAGCTAGAGAACCAAACTAGTTCAGTTGTTTCAGCTTAAGTTGTTAAATAGTTAATTTTGTATATTGAATTCATAATTATATTCCTTAGTTTTGACTCTGCCCTCGTTATCATTGTGTAAGTCAACTTTAAATATTATTTTTCTCTAGGATAAACATTGACATTTCTCTCAAATAATTTTTATAGATACCATAGTTTCCATAATTTTAGTATCATTTTAATATACTATAGCTATCAGTATCTTGCATATACTATGATATATAGACTGAGTAGTTTCTCTACAATATTAATGTAGAGAAATTCTCAACTTCTGTCTGCCCTACACATAAATGTATGTACACAAAATCAGTTTTTCCCAGCAGCAAGGAAAAAAGAAACGAAGGGAGGATGGGGAAGAGGGAGGGAGGGAAGAAACTGGTTTAATATATCTAAAGTAACTACATATTTGTGCATAAAATACAAATACGCCAAAAAATTAAATTTTCAGTTTTATCTCAGAAATCAATACAATCTCAAAGCAATAGCCAAGATTTGGTATGGTTGAACTTTGGATTGCAACAACATAGGATATGCATGATTAAAAAAGGAATGGCTAGCATTTATTACTGAGTGGGAGGTTTGATTGCTCTCCCCACACAGCAACATAACACTGGCTAAAACAAATAATTCAGTGTTCTGGAAATCAGACAAACAAATTGAGAAGTTTTGTTCATGAAAAGTACTAAACTCAAGGCAAGAATAACACAAGTTTGTGATGTTCTTATCTGGTGCCACTCCTTTCCCCCTCCTTACTCATCCCCTGCTTTGTTGGTGTGATATTTCAGCCAGGATGGAGCAGGCCTTGAAAACCAGCAGCTTTGCTGCCCTACTGCTGGTAGAGTACTTGATAGAGAGTATTGAAGATTGAAATAGTCATCTTAGTTGCAAATGAACAAGGAGAAATAATGGCTCTGTGAGTCTGAGGTTGAAGTCTTGTTTATGGCAAGCAAGATTTTATCAAGTTGCAAGAGGCAAGACAGCCACAGGGGCTTGATAAGTTCACCACATCTATCCCAGCTTGACTGGATATGCACAGCAGAAAAGGAAGTGAGCCCAAACCATCCATGCATCACTGGTCAGTGGAGCTTATAAATACATAAAGAGGAGATTCAAACAGGCCTGGTGATAATAAAATTTGGGGCCAACTTGTAAAGGGCTCAGAGTTTGCACTACTCATTCTATACTCAAATTACATCTAGAAGTAGAACCTTTACTGGATTTTAACACTCAGTATCATTATCAAGATGGTAATTCTCCCAAAATTGATTCACAGTGATCACTGTTAAAATGTCATACCTTTTGTTTTGGGCAGAAATTAATAAGGTAATAATCCTAAGATTTATATGGAAATGCAAAGGACTTAGAATGGATAAAATAATTTTGAAAGCAAGAAAAATTTTGGGAGGACTTACATTACACAATTTCAATACTTCTTATAAATGTACATTAGTGCAGTTGGCAAATAATTAGCATAAAAGAAGACATACAGATAAATGGATCAAAATTGTGAATCCAGGAATATACCTTACATTTATGGTCAGTTGATTTCATTCAATAAAGTTGCCAACACAATTCACTTGAAAAGGACAGTTTTTCCATCCTAGGTACTGGGATAATTTTATATCCATATGTAAAGAAAAAAAATTAGAGAAAAATGAACTCAAAATGGATCATAGTTCTAAATATAAGTTCTAAAATTATAAAACTTCTAGAAGATATTAGATTAAGTGGGGCACTGTTAGGTGCAAGGCCATAAGAGAAAAAAATATGAATTGAACTTTATTAAATGAACATTTACACATGACTAAGAGCATGCACAGACAACCCCCAGACTGAAAAAAAAATATTAGAAAATCATGTATTTGATATAGATCTTATCCACAGAATATATAAGGAACTCATACAAATTAATAAGACAACCCAATGAATAATACACTTGAATAGAAGTATTTTCACCAAATATTTATGGGTGCCAAATGTGTTCAGCATCATTAGTCATTAGACAAATGCAAATTAAAGCATTAAATACAACTACACACCAACTATAATTAATTTAAGAGCCAACGTTGAGTATTGAAATGGATGGAGAGAATCTGGACCCCTCAAACATTTGGGGGAATATAAAGTAGTACAGCGACTTTGGAAAATAGTTTCTTTAAAAGTTAAATCATCAACTTAGCATATAACCCAACAATTCCATTCCTAGGAATCTGTATAATAAAGATAAAAACACCTGTGTACTTTAAGACATATTCTGTTGTTTATAGCAGAGTTATTCAGAACAACTAAAAACTGGAAATTATTAATCAGTTGGTAACTGGATAAATGAAATGTGGTATACTCATGCAATAGCATACTATTCAGCAATAAAAGGAAACAATGTACTGAATATTAATGCATGCTACAGTGTAAATGAAGCTCAAGAAGATTTTACTAAGTTAAGGGTCGGCAATATTTTTCTGTAAAAGGCCAGATAGTAAATATTTTAGGGTTTGTGGGCCTTATTATCTTTGTTGCCACCACTCAGCTCTGCTATTGTAATGTGAAAGCAGCCAAAGACAAAATGCATAACCAATTTATTGGTTATGCTCCAATAAATTTTATTTACAAAAACATGTGGCAGGCTAGATTTGACCTGCAGATTGTAGTTTTTAAATCCTTGTTAAGTGAAAGAAGGGAGATGAATAAGACTACCTATGATATGGTTCCATTTATATTGAAATGCCAGAAAAGGCATATTTATACAGGAACAAAAGAAACCCATTAGTGGTTGCTTGTGGCCAGGAGTGGGGTTGGGGGAGTGGTGATTGGCTACAAATAGACTCAAATCAGATTTGGGGCTGATGAAATAACTCTAAAACTGCATTATGATTATTGTTATAGAATTCTGAAAAGTAATTAAAAATTACTGAATTTTACCCTTCAAATGAATGAAGTTAAGGGAATGTAATTTATATCTCAGTAAAAATGAAAGAAAAAACTGGAAAAAAATATTAAAGACTGGTGGCTTTTTCATGATATGTCATGAAGGTATTGAATTTTATATGATGCATATAACTATGGCTAGATAAAGTATCAGAGCATATGGGTAAAGACTAAAAGTAAAAAGTATCAGCATTTGAGAAAATTATGAAAAGTAAGAGCTATTACTGAAATAGTAATATTTTTAAAAGTTATATACTGTAGTGTTTTTTAAAAATGACTTGCGCCCCGGCCTGGTGGCTCAGCTGGTTGGAGCATCATGGCATACATTGCAAAGGTTTCAGGTTTGATTCTTGGTTTGAGCGCATGTGGGAGGCAACGGATCAGATCGATATTTCTCTCTCATACCAATGTTTCTCTCTCCCCCTTCCTCTCGCAAATCAGTCAAATAGATGGATGGGTGGGTGAATGGGAGGGAAAGAGGGAGGGAGAGGAGGGCAGAAACAAACTTGGGTCATATTGCTGGGGACTAGGGAGATTTTTAAGCCAATTTTAAGAAAGTGTAGATTTCTACACATTTTAAGAGCACCAAATATATCTTGCAAATACATGGTGAGAGATTGGAATGGGGCTGTTTGCATAAATGGAGACCTGGGACTATGTTTGTAGGTAGTAAAACTGTACCTCAAATAACCCCATATGACATTGTTGGTGTTTTCCTGTGGGCCAAAGAGACAGCTATGTAAAATGGAAATAGTAACCATATGCTGTGTGTGTATATGGCATCTGGAATAGAGCTCTTCCAATGTGGGACCAAAGCCCCAGTCATACTAATTTAAAACCTGCTCTTGAGCTATGCAACTCCAGAGGCCAGTCTGAGCAACCATGAAGTAACATGGCAGGAAAGAGCTCACCAAGAACAGCACTCTCTTGTAAGGTGATCTTGCAGACAAGTATTTTAGGGAATGTAAAGAAATCTATTGCCATAACAGACAGCAGATGCATTAAATAGAATCCTGTACATCTGAAGAAATAAGGATAAGAACACAGTCCCAAAAATAACTTTAAAATAAGAATGTTTAGAATTTCAAATGAAATAATAACTTGTAATGAGAATAGAAATAAATAGAATGATAAAGGTCATTTGAAAATCTGTTAAGGAACAAAAGTTGGTGAAATAAACAACTATTTACTGTATCCAAAGGAAATAGCAGAAGAGAATTAGTGAATCAAAAGACTCAACTGAGAAGTGAAAGTCAGGATGAGCAAATCATCTAAAATATAGAACAAAATGATAAAGAAGTTTAAACATGAAAGAAAAGTTA